TGTGTGTGTGTGTGTGTGTGTGTGTGTGTGTGTGTGTGTGTGTGTGTGTGATCACAGTGTGTGCCACAGATCGTGTGGTGGTCTGTCAGAACGTGCAAGGTCACATTCACGAGTGCCCAGACTACCAGATGTCAACCTGTCCTCCTCTCTGCCCCCCTCCAGGTGCTCCATGAGTGTGGAAGACGGTGCCAAACTTTACGATGTCTGTCCACACGTCAGTGATTCAGTATGTGTCCTAAAGTGTTTCTCAGAGTTTTCAGATCTGGTGCAACACTATTATTATTTTTTTATGTTTGGTTACAAGCTTCCTGTAGTTTTCTCTCTGCCTCAGTGCCAACACAGCGAGCAACGTTTCAAGATTCAAGATTATGTTTATTGGTCACGTGCATAGTAATACATAGAATAACTTGCAGTGAAAAGTCTGCACACGAACTCTAAATTAACTTCCTCACTGTAGAATTAAATGTCTAAAAGTCTAAATTTACAAGTTACAAGTAAAACACACTGCCAAATATAAAAATTGATTAAAATATCAATTAAATTAAAATATCAAATATCAAGAAAAGAATATAGTTTAAATAAAAAATGCAGGTGATAGGTGTGAATATCGCCACACACGGCTCTCACAAACACTACCTTGTTCTATTGAAGAGCAACTTCATTTAGAGACAGTTTTCTACTTTTTGAGTCWGTTTTAACTCAAACAATCTGCAAAGTTACTCTGTTCTCCTTGAAGTTGATGAAAACTTTCTAACAGCATTGTCAGGAGAATTTTGTTGCACTGACACAATAGAGGTAAAACTAGATGTAATCATTGTGTTTTAAGTTTTCCTTGTCTCGTTTCTCAGGGTTTGTTCTTCGATGAAGCGTATGGGTTTTACCCGGGCCAGGTCCTGATCGGTCCGGCCAAAGTTTTTTCAAACGTACAGTGGCTGTCGGGGGTCAAACCTGTCCTGAGCAGGAAGTGCAAGTTCAGAGTGGTGGTAGAAGAGGTAAGATAGAAGCTAAATTAGGAGGCGTTTAGTTCCTTGTTTATTTTGTATAACTTATTAAATGAAAAGATTCCCAATAATTTCATAGGTTTTTATCTTAAAGCATTTAAATGCTCATTTTGGAGATGTGTGCTTCCCTCAGGTGAAGGTTGTGGAGTTAAAAGTGACATGGATCACAAAGAGCTACTCCCCAAAAGGCTCAGACAGTGTTTATCCCCCTCCCTCCACCATCACGCAGGAAAACCTTCACAGGTTGGTTATTCTGCTCCTCAGGCAGCATCTGTTCCCCTCCRGACAGTCAGTCTTCCTGTTTTCTAACTAAAGATGGAGCACAAACTGCATCTTATACTAGTGGGTTTATTTTTCTCAAAAGATCAAAGTTTCAGCCCGTTTGTGTTTGACTTTTTAGAGTGAGACGTCTGGGCTACTACGACCACACCCAGAGGCAACTGGGAGAAAGGGCGCTCTACGTCTTCCCCGCCAAAAGCGACGCCACACGCATCATCTGCGATGGACCGGAGGGGGCCCCTGTTCTGCCAGAGGACCCCGTTGCCAGAAAGGTGCAGATGAGTTGTTGATGCGTTCTGGATAAACRGAAACAAATATTTAGAGATCTTGTAAATTAGAAGCAAAGTTTTTAACGTCTGTTTGTTTTTCTGCAGCTGAAAAGAATGTTCAAGAAAGATTCTGGGAAGAAGATGGAAAATGTTGACTCACAAGGTACCGAACAAAAACAGACAGAAAACCTTCAACATGCAACATGACAAAAGGAAATTTTATTCATATTTTTTCAGTTTAAAAAAAGTATGTATTTACTTAAGGATTCAAAAGGTTTTTAATTGTGTTGTAAGTTTGCATCCCTCCTACACAAGTGAAGCTGTAATTATCTGCATCCAGAGCAGTTTCAGTCTTTTCCATCAATAAAGCTGAGTTCTGTGAAAACAGGCTAACTGGAAATGTTGCTGGAGCGCAGCTTCAGCTGGGATATTTTTGTCCAGTAGGATGGAGGACGATTGTGTGAAAAATAATAACATAAAGCTGCTGTTCATGAAATGTGCCTTTAAATATAAACTTCACTTCAGAACTCGTTGTCTTTCTCTCCAAATGAAGACTCATTGCATGTTTCCTGCTGAGCTGAGAAGTACGGTTTTAGTTTCTTTAAAAATGCATTTCGATGTCCTGTTTGTTGAAATGTTTTGTTTTCCCACCAGGGGAGCACAAATCAGAGCAAATGGAGTCCTCTCGTCCTAACAACAACGGCCCTGTGATGCACGCACAGAACCCACTGGACTCCCAGAACACCAGCGATACCACGGCAGAGCACGGGGAACAGGACGCCGATGACGAGGGTGCAGAGGATACCGACGACACCAGGTCTGAGCGGTTCTTTGTACCCAAATTTCAGTGGGATAAAGGTGTGGGAGGAGCTCGGTGAACACTTGTTCTCTTTTAGTCATGTGTTGATAATGAGATCCTCTGTAATTCTGATACCTTAAAAATTTCTTCTGATAAGCTCTCGTCCTTCTGTTTTTAAAGAGTACTTTAGAAAGGAAGGTTGTTGAGCATGAAAGCAACTGAACAAAGTTTCACGCTTTTAATGTCTTTAATGCCACAAAATAAAGAAAGCCCTCTTTTGTCTGTTTTTTATGGCTCTGTCTTCTGAGTCGCTTTGTATCAGTGTTTTATCTGAACSTGATGTAACTATTGCATGGATCCTTTGTTCTTTTTCTGAGGAAGAAAGAAGTCCGTTTAACCTCTCTGCAGCAATTATTGTCAGGTTTACCTCACAGGTTTGCAGTTCAGATGCTATACATGTTCAACTGAACGTTAGGCATGGGCTGGATACCGGTTTCAAGGTATACCGTGACGTGAAAAAGTCACGGTTTGAAAACCACTAAAATATTCTGTCACACCGTTCCTACGGTATAAGTGTTTTTGGTTTTTCCTCCGGTCTGTGCCGCTGCAGACTTTCCCTCCGTGACCCCTCCCCCATGCACTCCATACACAGCTGCCTGTCGGCAGCACTCTGTGTTATGGCTGAAGAAAGAGAGTTCCCTAAACTTCCCTAAACATTATTCTGTATTATATAGTGAATTAACATTAACTAACACTAACATCCTGTGTGTCTGTCTTTTATCTGAAACGGGTCGCAGCTCTCTGACATCATCAGCGAGCTCCACAGCGTCGTCTCAGAGCGGCGGCCTGGGAACCAACCGTAAGAAGAGCATCCCGCTGTCCATCCGCAACCTGAAGAGGAAACACAAAAAGAAGAGGACCAAGTTCTCCCGCGAGTTCAAGCCTGGAGACCGGTGGGTTCCTGCACCTGGCTCAGAGCAGTCAAACTGAAACAACTAGTTTTATTTTATTATTTCCAGTCTGTGTGTAAATGTGATAAGTTTTTTATTTTTTTGTCTCAGTGTGGCGGTGGAAGTTGTTTCTACAAAAACCACAGCTGATGTGATGTGGAAGGACGGGCGGGTGGAGAAAGGGATCCGATCCAATGACGTGATCCCCGTTCAGCACCTGGACAGCCACGAGTTCTGCCCCGGGGACTTCGTAGTGGACAAACGACGTCAGTAAACTTGACTTAAAACACCGTCGTTTATTAGTTGTGTTTTTATTCTGGACGTCGAGGTAGAACGTGGTGTTTACGCTGACTGGAAAATACATTTGTGTTGCTGTTGATCTGCAGCTCAAACTGTTTTTTCTTTCTGATCTCAGCTGAAGGCCTGCAGGACCACGGAGTGTACGGTGTGATCCAGTCGGGCGATCACAAGGCCAGAACATGTGTCGTAAAGTGGATCAAACTCAACCCTACGAGTGACGACGTCGAGGTTCGTCACGCTGACAAAATCGGTGGAAGAGGAGTTTTAAAAGAAGTGAGCGTGAACTTCCTGTTTTCTTCTGACGCAGGTTAGCGGTGTGGAGGAGGACGTCAGCGTGTACGACATCGCAGATCATCCGGATTTCCACTTCCGCACCACTGATATCGTCATCAGAATATGGAACTCTGAGAACGGGCAGAACGACTGCGAGAACGAGGTGAAGCATTTAAATTTTTATTAAAAATAACAGCATGGTGAACTCTGAAGTCCCATCAGTGCCACAGCAGAGTGGAGCTTCAGGGATGGTTGTCTCTGTGTCTCAGACATCAGTGGGTCAGGTGTCCAGAGTGGACGTGAGCAGCAAGGTGGAGGTCGTTTGGGCCGATGACTCAAAAACCATCGTCCTGCCGCAGGTGAATCTCCATCCTTTTTTAAACAAACGTAATGTTTACATGAAGAGTCTGAGTTTAACGGTGTAAAAACCCTGACGCAGCATCTGTACAACGTGGAGTCTGAGATCGAGGAGACGGACTACGACTCTGTGGAGGAGACCAGCAGCGTCCTGTCCACCGAGGAGTGGGAGGACGACAGTGACAGCTGGGAGACGGACAACGGTCTGACCACTGAGGACGACAGCCACAACTACGCCACGGACACCGCCACCCCAACTCCCACCCCCACCGGCTCTACGGCCTTTATCCTCCCCCCACAGGACAGCAGCACCTGTCCCAGCAAAGGAGCCCCTGCACAGGATGGAGAAGCCTCTGTGGCCAGTCCTGCATCTGGAGGTGAGAGACTTATCTGGTTTTATGTGTCGTCTCCTCTACTGGACTGTTGTTTTGTCAGTAATCCAGCATCATCTTCCTGCCGGCGCAGGAACGACTCCCGGAGGAGCCGTAAACGGGACGGAGAAGCCCGGAAAGGACGGTGCCACCCGAGGCTTCAGGGAGCTGAAGGAAGCTCTGAAGATCCTGGAGAGCCTGAAGAACATGACGGTGGAGCAGCTGTGGACCGGCGGCTCACCCACCTCCCCGACCTCCGCTGAACCGGCTTCCACGGCCAACGTAGCGAGTTCAGCGACGCAGGCCGCCTCTGAAAAGCCCACCAAAGAGAAACGCTTCCTGGACGACATCAAGAAGCTGCAGGAGAACCTGAGGAAGACGCTGGACACCGTGGCCATCGTGGAGGAGGAGAAGATGGAGGCCGTGGTAGAGGCAGTGGTCAGCGGCGGCGCAGGGACAGAGGTAGGCTCACTTGCTGTGGTGATGTCACTTCCTGTCAGCAGACAGCGTTGAACCCCCGGTTTTTCCTCCTCAGGTAGAGAGAGGCGGAGAGGAGAAGCCCCAGCAGGAGGCGCAGACGCCGGTGGGGGGGCAGGAGTGGCCCAGCGAGGTTCTCAGTGAAACCCCAGTTCTGTGCCAACAGAGTGGAGGAAAACCTGGAGTCACCTTCACCAGCGCCAAGGGAGAGGTCTTCTCTGTCCTCGAGTGGGCTCCAGGTGACACGGGTTCTGTTTTCAACTCTGCATCCCTTAAAGGAGACATATCTCTCTAAATCCAAACATGGAGTTAAAATAAGGAGGAATTCAGACCAAAGCAGTGCAGTTCCCCTGATTGATTTAAATATGTAAAAGAAGGATTTAAAAGCATCATAAATCTCCTTTAAATGAATGCTGGGGTTTTAATAAAATATTGTTCTTCTCTCCTCCAACAGAGACTCACTCGTTTAAGAAAATGGAGTTTCAGCCAGCAGAGCCCAAGAAGTTTTTTAGCACAGTGAGGAAGGAAATGGCTCTGCTGGCAACGTCGCTGCCTGATGGCATCATGGTGAAAACCTTTGAGGACCGCATGGTGAGTTCAGGTCACACCGACCACCTCCAGACCAGGTCCAAACCAGGTCCAAAGAGCCAGAACAACAGTACAGACTGAGGGAGCAACAGAAACCCCCCCACTGAGATCATTATAGGTTGGATAATAAATGTTTTAGAGCAGCTGAAAACTATCAGTATTTACCTCTCTGCTGGTTTTGTGATGAAGGATGAAGAATCATCAGCAGAATAAAGTTCAGGAATGATATTTAGGCTTTATGATGCTTTAGGATGAACATTCAGGTAAAATGTGATGACGTTTAAAAAGTGGTGCAAACCAAAAATCAAACCAGAGTGCGGTGATTTAACAAGAACCCCTGTTCCTCTTCTTGTGCTCCAGGACCTGTTCTCAGCTCTGATTAAAGGACCCACCCGGACGCCGTACGAGGACGGGCTCTTCCTCTTCGACATCCAGCTGCCCAACATTTACCCCGCCGTGCCGCCGCTGTTCCGCTACCTGTCCCAGTGCAGCGGCCGCCTCAACCCCAACCTGTACGACAACGGCAAGGTCTGCGTCAGCCTGCTGGGCACCTGGATCGGGAAGGTGAGTCCTGCTGGGCCGTCGGGGGGCGGGTCCATTCACAGCCATTAAATCTGATCCTCTTAACCCACGGTTCTGGTGCTGTGACTCACAGGGCACCGAGAGGTGGACCAGCAAGTCCAGCCTGCTGCAGGTCCTCATCTCCATACAAGGTTAGACATACACACACACACACACACACACACACACACACACACACACACACTGCTCCTCTCTCTCTGCAGCACAACAATGTTTTATTCATGTGTTCATTTGCTCAGTGTCCCTTCACTGAATATATTTCCCTCACACAAACCTTCACTGCAGTCTGGTCTGGAAGAGTCCAGGGGTCAGATTTATAAATATTGTGTGGAAACCATACCAAAAGTGAACGTACGGCCAAAAGGTGAAAATGGCGTACGCCAAAAAATATTCAGATTTATAAAACCGTGCATACGCACGTTTCTGCAACTTTCATTTATAAATCACAGCCACACGTCAGAGTTTGGCACAAGGTCCCGCCTCAGGTTCTACCCTCTACACGCCCACATTCAACCATAAACAGTCAATGTAAAGTACGTCATGAATGTTCAGATGTATTTAAATCAGTCAGCTGATCAATGATTGGCTCAGACGTGCTCCGTCATGTGTCTGGAGGAGGACAGGTGCTGACAGCTGCTCACGTGAATAGATTGTCTGTAATTGACACAGATTTTCCCTCATTTTGCAGGTTTACAGACATTTAGAGTAAGCTAATGATTTTTATAAAAACTCAGCTTCAAATTAATTTTCTCTCAGAGCCTGCAGGACTATAAAAACAATAAATAAAATTAAATAAGTCAGATAAAGTTGAGTTCGCTCTTCTCCCACATCCTCCCCCTCCTGCCCGTTATCTGTGGCTGACCGTCTCCTCACCCCCCACACCGTGCGTGCGTGAAAAGTACGTACTTTAATAACTGAATCTTTTATAACACATCCACATTGGCGAGGGCGCGCACCCAAAGCGTGACAATAACCAAGCTTTTTGCTGTGGTGCTGTTGAAATATCTCTTGTCGGGGAGGGGTCTGTGGGTCAGGGAGGGGTCTGTGGGTCAGGGAGGGGTCTGTGGGTCAGGGTCGTCTGAGGAGGAAGCAGATGAATGGAGATGTGTGAACTTTAATTTAAGATTCAAGTTTTTTATTTCACAGATCCTTATGGCTCAGCAGCAGAAGCATAAATAATATTGTTAAGAAAGCTAAAGTTGATCTAAAATTTAAGTGGAATTAAATATCTGACAGTGATCATTACACAATGTGGCTCTAATTCCTCACTTCACATCTGTGTCGCAGTTTCACGTCTCCAAAATGAGCGTACACATGGGTCAGAGCTGGCTGAGGCACCGCACATTTTCACGTCAAGTTTGAGTTTTATAAATCACAACCTTTGCGTGAAAAGTGGCGTACGCAAGTTTCTGGGCTGGTTTTGTGCGTACGCAAGCTTTATAAATCTGACCCCAGACCTCTGAGCTTTCTGGTGGTTTTTCAGTCCACTTCCTGCTTCCTGTCAGACGTGTTTGACCTGCTGACCTTCTGCCCGCAGGCCTCATCCTGGTCAACGAGCCGTATTACAACGAGGCCGGCTTCGACAGCGACCGCGGCCTGCAGGAGGGCTACGAGAACAGCCGCTGCTACAACGAGATGGCCCTCATCAAGGTGGTGCAGTCCATGACGCAGGTCCTCCAGCACCCCGTGGAGGTCTTCAGGCAGGAGATCCAGGAGCACTTTGCCTCCAGCGGCTGGCGGCTCGTGCACCGCCTGGAGGCGTGGCTGGAGCTCAACGAGGCCGCCGAGCGGGGCCACGCGGCACACCCCTACTCCAGGAGCCACCACCTGAAGGACGAGCAGCTTCCCGCCAGCTCAGGGCTGGTGGCGGTGGCCCACAGCAGTCCCAGCAAGCCCAGCGGTGAGGAGGCGGTGTCAGGGGTCAGCAGTATTCTGGAGGAGGATCTGGAGGATTCAGGACTGAGTCCTTCCACCATCGCCCCCCCTCAGCAGGAGCTGAGCCAGAACTCGGACTGCGACAGCACCCAGGGCGAGAGCAAAGCCGGCTCTGTGGTCCTGGGCTCTGGGGGGCGCAGCATGGCGTCAGATTCAGGTCCAACAGGAGTGGTGGGCTCCTCGGGGGGCCAGCCCGTGGTGCGACCAAAGAAAAGGAGAAAGAGTTACCGGAGTTTCCTCCCCGAGGGCGGCGGATACCCGGACATGGGCTTCCCTCTCTTCCCGCTGTCGAAGGGTTTTGTGAAGAGCGTGCGAGGCGTCCTGCTGCAGTACCGAGCTGCGCTGGCTGCTGCCGGCATCTCTGAGCACACAGAGGACAAGTAAGTGTCTCTGACACACCCCTGCACTGCTCCCTCTCTCTTCTCCTCCTTCTACCTGTCTCACTCACCTCCRATCCTGGAGGAGGATCCACTGCTACCAGTCAGAGTGGTGGGGTGGCGGTGTACAACCTGTACCCCCCAGAGCCACACTGAGTCCTGCACTGCCCACATTCTCAGCCCCTCACCTCCTTTTCTCAGCCTTTCCTGCTCCTGCTGCCCTCGGCTTGATAACTCTGACTTCTGATGAAAGCCTCAGCTGGAGAAGCAGCTGATTTGGATGTTAACGTGTTCTTTCTCTCCTTCAGTGACCCCTCAGACAGGTGGGATGAATAAAAGTGGGGCGGACCCACATGCACACAGAGTGGAGACCCCCCCCCCCCATCTTTGTACAGCAGCAGATCCAAATGCTGAGCTTCTGCGAGAGAGTTTCAGGAGAAGTTTGACAGATGAGAACCCAGTGCCATGATCCCCCCACTCTGCTCCCCCATCATCAGACTAACCCTTAGCCCNGTTTAGAGTAATCTAACGATTTTTATCAAAAACTCAGCTTCAAATTAATTTTCTCTCAAAGCCTGCAGGACGATAAAAACAAATGAAATTAAATAAGTCAGATAAAGTTAGAAATAAGTTCACCACTCTTCTCCCCCTCCTGCCTGCTCTGTTATCTGCGGCTGACCATCTCCTCACCCCCTCACATCCCCACAAACCCGCGCACGTGAGAAATACGGACTTTAAATAAGTGAACTTTTATAACATCCACAATGGCGAGGGGCGCGCCCTCTGAGTACCCAAAGTGTGACTTTTGCTGTTGTGCTGTTGAAATGTCTCTTGTCAGGGAGGGGTCTGTGGGTCAGGGTCTGACAGTGATCATTACACAACGTGGCTATAATTCCTCACTTCACCATCTGTGTCGCAGCTTCCCGTCTCCAAAATGAGCGTACGCATGTGTCAAAGCTGGCTGAGGGACCGCACATTTTCACGTCAAGTTTGGATTTTATAAATCACAACCTTTGCTTGAAAAGTGGCGTACGCAAGTTTTTGAGCTCATTTTGTGCGTACTCAAGCTTTATAAATCTGACCCCTGGTGGAAACTGTATCTGCTGAGCTCCTAAAACTACTACTCAGTGCAGCCCATTTCAGATTAAAAATACCTTTGAGGAAATGGATTTTCTGATGCCAAGGAAACTACAACGAACTTCCACTTCACAGTGTGCGCACCCCTCGTAACGTACTTTCTGGTCCGACAATAAGGTTCATTTGTATCCTGAGATGCAATTTTCCWAAACAGATATTGTGTAATGTTGCTGCTTTTTTATCATTACAACAAAGTCTGCTACGAGGCTCCAGGTTGTAAACAGCAGAGCCCTGTAGAGAGAAACAGCTGTGATGACGTGCTGAAATGGGCGGGACAGAAGCAGAAGGAGGTTTTTAAAGAGACAGAGGCCAATTTCAAGGTGTTTAGAAACCGATATGATGAGAAGTCAAGTTTATTTTCTATTTAAACATAAAAAGCAACATTTTAATAACAACTGAAGGTGACATAGATACTTTATTATGGTATAGAATTTAAATATATAGGCCTTAGAAACACATAATATTGCCTCTTTAAGCAGCCACCTATGTCTCTATACACTGCCTGGCCAAAAATGGTCACACACTGATKGACTGTAACTCAGTCAGATTGGTGTAGTAGTAGTTGAGAGTCATCCCCAACACGTCCATCAAGTGTCAACAAATTGTTCATTATCTGCAAGCAAGGCAGTGAGTGCATGCCTTTTAGCTTTATATTTATTTTTTAGCAAATCATCTGAGGACATTAAATCAAACCAAGTCTTTTAAAAGAAGTTTAAGAGATCCATGTTCAGGAATCGAGCTGAAAATAAGTGAAAAAAGTAAAAAAAAAACAAGAAGGAACTTAAAAAGATCTTTAGAAAGCCTGAAGAACCTTTGATATCTTTGAAAATAAAATCAGTCTGTCTCACTGGAAGAAACCTAAAAATGAAAGATAAATTAAGTACCGTACATTTTTTAGTGTCTTATGTCTGAATTAGTCAGAAGAAAACATTTACCACTTCCAACTCCCTCGTGATCAAACATCACTCTTTGGTTGCTGCTAAACTCGAACTTCTCAATGGGGATGGTGCCTGTAACAGCAGAAGGATCTGGTACTGGTCCAAACACCTGAGCCAGGAGGGAGCAGGAAGACCCAACCTCCTCAAACACCTACACACACACACACACACACACACACACACACACACACACACACACACACACACACAGGTGGGGCTTAACCACGCTGCCGATTCAACCCTGTGAACAAACTGCAGAGTCCAGCTCCTTCAGACTGCTGAGTCGCCTGCAGCTTCTCTGTAGCACCGCTGAGTCATCGCTGGAGCATCCTGCACATTCTGCCAAAACCCCTACACACACACACACACACACACACACACACACACACACACACACACACACACACACACAGCAGATCAGGCTGAATGTGGAGAAAACTGCCAACCCCAACTGCTTCACCACTTCCTCCATGACACTTCCTGTTGTTTTCACTCAGAGAGAAGCACTCAGCGCACACAGAGTGATAAAGTTTACATCCTCATGACCTCTGTTTGACCTCTGTTTGACCTCTGAACGGCCACTGTGGGCAGATTGTTGGAGGTGTTTGGTGTTTGGTCGGAGCTGGGTCTTTGTGTTTGGAGGTTAATTTGAAGGATTCATAGTGAAGCTTTACCCACAATGCCACACTCCTGTAAGGAGGGAAACACATTGCTGCGTATGACACAGATTTAAGATGAAACAACAACTTTTAGCATCCATTCCATCATCTCCTGTCAACATGTTGCCTTACTTGAACTGAGACGTCCTTCGCTCGCCCTGCTTCAGTCTCTCTGCTCTGAACAGAAACTATGTGGACGTTTTATTCTTCATATTTCCAGCTGTTTTAGGCTTTCCCTGTGCTGAGTGCTTTTGTCCAAAATCAAATTTAGAAACRACCAGAATCCACACTGCAAAGCTGAAGCGGACATGTTTCCACTTCCCTCTGTGGATGAAAACTAAAACAAATCAGGGTTTTATTCACAGACTTCAGTCATTAGACTGCGGCTTTGCTGCCGATTTGTTGTGAAACTCTCCTTCGGGTGCTTCCAGGGGAGATCACAGAGTGTTTACATCTTTTTAAAAAAAATAAAACAACGTCTCACATTTTCCTAACCGTAACCATCCCTCCTTTTACTCACTGACGAAGCTCGTGTCCTGGCTGTGACCTGAGCTGAACCGGAGAGCGTTGGCTGTTTGCTGTTTTTTTACTTGAACGTTGAGTTTGACAGAGAGCACTGTGAACCTCGGAGGGTCTAAATAAGAGGAGTGTTTGTTGTTTTGCATCGTCTTCCATCCCCCCACCCCTATACCAGATGTGTTCATGCTGCCTCCTTGGATTTGATTTTAAAGGGCTGGTCAGCCTTTTAAAGTGGAGTTCTGTGTGAAAATTATGAACAGTTTATATCTCACATGTTGTAGATAGCTCTTACTTTATCCAAATTGAGGTTGTTCAAGGAGCTATCTACAACAGGTTAGATACTAATTGTTAATTTTCCCACAGAACCCCCCCTTTAAAATGCCGACCCATCCCTTTAATGCGTGGCTACCTTTAACGCTCACAGAGGAGGGCAGAGGTTGTAGCCTGGTCCTCTCCTCCTCATCGCTGCACAGATGTGTGAGCCTGGAACAGCTGGAACGCTGCTCCACTTCCTGCTTCATCTCGTCAGCAGAAACTGTGAAGCTCGGAGCGAAACGTCCCGGCAGGATGTCGAGCCCGTGTACAATTTGCCGTGTGTATATTGTTGAGATCGAAAGCATTCTTCTTATTACTGCAAGACTTTTTGTTTTCCAGCCAAAGCATGTAACATGTTGCTTTAAGCCTCTCGACTGGGCTACACTGAAGACTTGACCGTACGATGTCTACATTTCCACAGTGGCCTGTTGTTGATATATAAAAAATAATAAAGTTATAATTTGTAGCCTGATTCCCTCTGTACAGACGTCATATGTAAAGCATACAGTATATATTTAACACCGACCTGGATGCCTGGGGTGTTTTCTGTAAGAGATGCGGAGTGTGAAGTGTTCCACGTTTCATTTTTTAAATGGTTTACTTCTGTTGCTTTGACACAGCTGTATAGTGAAGGAATAAAGTTTGCAAGCAGTACCAGAACAACCCTGTGCCTTTATTTAAAAAATAGTAATAATCATGAAAAGGCTAATGTGAAATTTACTAATAAAAAAACTGGAGCTGACAGCTGTAGATGAAAAATAGTTCCCAGCAGAACACTCAGGTTGTTTTTATTTTATTTTATTTTTTTAGGAAAACAATATAAAGACATGTAGATAAAGTTACAGGGGTTAGACAATGAAACTGAAACACCTGCTATTTTAATGTGGAAGGTTTCATGGTTAAATTGGACCAGCTGGTGGCCAATCTTCATTAATTGCACCAGTAAGAGCAGAGTGTTCAATTAGCAGGGTAAGAGCACAGTTTTGCTCAAAATATTGCAATGCACACAACATTATGGGTGATAAGTGGGAAATCAATATCAGATGTTAATATCGGCCCAGTTTTACATATCGGACCAATACGATATTCTAAAAAATGACCAATATCGGCTGATACCGAGATTAATGCCGATATATCGTGCATCCCTAATCAAGAGTTCCTCATTAGAACAACCTAAAGATAAGATTCAGACCAAATAGTCTTTTTTTTTACTAAATTTGACTTTATCCTCAATTTAATGTTGTCACCTTTGTGTCTTCAGTACAAGATCTTTATAATCTGAGCTAGGAGGAGCATGACATCAAACATGGTCACAGAGAGCCTTGTGTAAATTTTATTTTATTGTTCATGTCTTAAGTTGTAACCGTGAAGCCAGGGCGTCTGTTAGTCTGACAATTATCGTATTAATGGCAGCAGAACATATTGCAACCTTTGTGATTATGATCAGTTTGTGAGACATTGTGCAGCTGGAAGCAAAAACATTGTCTCATCCTGATTAAATGCATTTTTACAGTTTTTTAAAAGCTCAGTCTGTGGCATCAGCTTTACTTTGAACCACCTACCTGAGAGTTTAATGTCGCTAAACTGGGTCTCGTTCCACATCTTTTCTATTTTAAGTCAAAAAGTCTCATTTAAATCTGTTACCTGACCCGGTTTATATGTAACAGCAGACAAAGTGATCTCTGAGAGGCTTTAGCAGAAGAATCAGAACAAATGACGTGGACCACAGGCAGGTTGGTTCATCATTTATTAGTTTTAAATACACTCAAGCAGAATGTTTGATTCAATCGTTAAAAAAAAAAGAAAAACTACAGATATTTCTCTAAATCAAAAAAATAGATCTCTTTTGATAGAAAAAAATCATTCAACTGTCGGTGTTGCAGAAAAGTTTGAGAAACAAGTTTCTCTTCAAGCTTAAACAGAAATACAGATGAATATGAAGTAATTTTCAGTCCCTTTCTGACTTAGAAAATGTTTGGTTTCATCCTAAAACCAGATACTTTTACACATGACCCAATAAAATGAATATTTGGATGCTGTACCACCAGAAATATGCCACAACAGCACAGACAGAAGCCTGACAGCAAATCTGGTCACTCCAATTGAAAATGTTCTCCAGTATTGATAGTTTAATAATAAAACCAGCAGGTGGTAGAGCTAACGAGATGCAGTGGCATATGTTAACCAGCAGGTGGCAGCAGATTCAAGGCACATCACACAAACATCTGAGCCTGCATCAAAACAAACAGAAACATGAGCTGCTTAGTTTTATACATCACTTTTTAAACCAGGAGGATTTTTTAAATTACTGGTGAGAAAACGGTTTTATTTTGCTGATGTGTTTGTTTTCCTCTTTGGACAGGGAGTCCTGCAGAGACTGGTTTCAGGTTTTGCAGCAGCATCCTTCTTGTGTAATCTAAATGATCCCCAGGCATCATTAAACCTTCAGAACATTTTTCCTTACGAAAAACTACATTTGGTCTCAAAACAGTCAAGTAGTCATTGCATCATGTAAATAAATTTCAATATCTGCGTGTTTGTTGTGACTCGAGGCACATCCTTGCTTTAAATCCCCTTTTTTTAACGTAATATTTTCTTTAACTCGTGTTCCCGTCAGCCTTCCTCCTCCTCAGTTTGTGTCATCCTTCAGGTTCACACACTGAGATGATGAAGAGGAAGGAGGGCAGGAACACAATTCCACCACCTCATGCAGCATTTAACACATCGATACTTCCCCTCCCCCCTTCCTCTTACCACTCGTTTTAACCCCCACCCCCTGTTTAAAGCTCCTCTGTGCTCATTTTCACAAAAAAAAAAMAAAACATTTCAGCCTCTCTTGCCTAAAAGAAGCCTTAGCTTTCTTCTAAAGCGCCACGTTAAGGACACCTTGGTGATGAAGGTCAGTGTGTGAGAGATGAAAGCTGTGCTGCAGAACACACTGGAAGCAGGAGATGCTGGGAAGCACCGAGGGATGAAGGGAGGATGCAGCAGCCAAAAAGACAAAAGGTAATGGGGGCGATGAAAACTTTCATTTAGTTTTGTTTGTTTCCCTCAGTGATTTCTCACTTTTTAATACATCAAACCTTGTAATGAATCTTTTAAAATGTTTGATCAGTCACCGTGTTGGTCTGGTTAAATAATAGGATTGATTTTTGTTGGTTTTTCATGTCTGCGGAGATAAAATGAACAAATGGAGATTCATTTATTTAAAGCCACGCAGAACTTGCTGCAGGTCCCGACTGGATCTTTGTTGGGTCAAAAACTACAAACTTCACTCCAATCAGTTCAGATTTTCTGTCCTGATTCAACAAAGCAAAGCTGCTGGTTTTAAGGTTCGACACGAGCTGGATTAGAAGATTTGTTGGTTTAAAAGCCCGTCGGCTCAGTTCAAGTGTTCAGAGAGGATTTTTATCTGCAGCACACTCTTCTTTGCTGTTCCACTTTCTCTCTTTGTACTTCGCAGCCCAACTACGAGCAAATCAGTTGCTCCAGCTGAGGGAAAAAATCTGCAGGCGGCTTTGATATTTGTGTGCAAACTRTAACTTTCAACATGAGCAGAGCTTCTACAAAGACAGGATCTCATCTGTCTGACCATCAGAGACGAGTGTGAGGAAAAACKGGAAAAATCTTCAGTTGAACTGTGAGTGTTTGTGTTTCCTGCAGCCCAGAGAACTGTTGAAGCGCCAAACACGTCAGTAATCTGACGGTGAGGATTCTGAGATCAGGATGCTTTTTTTTTTAAATCAAACACACAACAGTCGGAACCTCGAAGCGAAACTGTGCAACAAYAAAAGCCTCCGATCAGACGCTGCACACACGCTGATATGCAACAATAAATATTAAATGACATTTTTAATGATGTTTTGCTGCTGCGGCACGAAGAGGGAAGTCGTCACATCACTCCTCATCCACTGAAAGACTTTTTAGGCTCTTTAGGTTATAAAACACACACACACACACACACACACACACACTGACCAGCTGAAAAGCTACAAACTGATCCTCTGCTGCTGGTTAAGATCTAACAGAAGCTCTGACTCATCATCAGATCATCAAACATGTTTGTAGAAAAACTGACTTAAACATCAGAGTGTTCAAAATCAAATATTCTTTCATCAGAGGAGTTTGGGTCCAGTTCACGTTACTGGATCTGGACTAGGACTCTGACGCTCACCAGGATCTTTGCTCAGGTTGGTGTTGGAGCAGATCTAAATGTGTCTGTTTAATCTATAAAAACACAAGTCTGATCATAAGTTTACGCCTCATTCTGACATCACAGCCTCTTTAGATGAAACAGGATTTTCTTTGGGCAGAAAGAGTCAAACATCCTACTCGTGTGCCTGCAGACTTTAGTTAAGGAAACAAACAGCTTCTAACAGCAGTGGCATTACATCATCTCATCCGCTGATTATCCTCGCCCGGCCCCTCTGCACCTCCGCCTGCAGCGGGCCGTGCTCCACCACCTCCCCGTCAACCGTGATGATCCCCTCGGGGGATCTGGGCTCCAGCCGGAGTGCCCGCACCTTGGCGTGCACCAGGTGCTGGCAGTTGGTGTCCAGGTGCGTGCCCTTCTCCATGGCCAGGAACAGCCTGAGCAGCGCGGCGCGAGATATCCCCGCTTTGACGTAGAAAAGGTGAATGACACCGTCATCCGGCCGGGCGCCCGGYGCCGCCAAGAGGTCCTCCGCCAGGTGGGATTGGTACATGGCCAACACGAGGACAAAGTCTTCCTCCGGGACCACCACCCAGTCGCCGGAGACCGGCTGGTCCAGAGGGGGCAGCTGGAGGTCAGAGGGCTCCCCACTGGCGGGCAGGTAAGCCAGCCTCCCTTTATAAACGCGCAGAGACGCCAGCCTCACCAGCGTGCCCACAGTGAAGCGGGCCGCTCCCAGGTGACGGTACTTCTCGCTCTCTACGTCCACGTCCGCCACGAAGCCCCAGGCCAGAGAMAGGAAGGAGAAGAGACGAGGGCCGGAGGACAGGTGGACCGACACCAGGTCCATGCGGGACACCTGACCCTGACAGAGCAGGAACCCACAGCTGAGCAGGAGCTCCTCGTTGGTCACTGGGGGGGCTCTGGAAGAGGACAGAGAACAGTTAAAAGCTTTCCTGGAAGAAACACATTAAAGTTTTTATGAAGCTTTAAACCTGGTTAAATGATAAGAGCAAAAAACATCCTTTCTTCTAAAAACGCTCATGGGTAAACTTAGACGTGATGAAGCAATAATCAACAGGAAGATCAGGAGATAAATGACAGAAATTAATATTTCTTGGACTGAGCTCATGGAAAAATGTATTCTTTGACAAATAAATTGTTCGATAAACTGCGACCCTGACCATAGATATGTGGCCTCAGACAGTTTCATGCTGACTGTTACAGCTCTGTTACTACCTGCTCTTTAAACACCTGTCAATCACTCATTCATACAGAGCAGGTGTGTCGAAGCAGAAACCTCTAAAACATGCAGGACAGCAGTCCTCGAGGACCTCTGGTCTAAAGAATCGTTGTACATCACAAAGATGGGAGAGTAGTGGGGCATGGTGGGGCTGAGGATTGACTGGGGGGGGATCAGGCCCCCAGACAAAAAAGGTCCCATCTGGTGGAGCTTAGAGGTGAAAGGTCAAAGCCGCCACAGATCAGCCTGCTGTTCCCCGCTGAAGCCTCGACCAGTCTGCGTATTCATCATCCTGAATTTATTATTTCACTTGTTTAAACGGCTTCAATCACATCTCCACAGCTGCTGTTCTAATCTGAGCTTTGGTTGGTTGGTTAATAAATAAATATATAAATAAATACTTGTAAAGATGACTACGTTCACCCATCCTGACCATCAAACCATGACCATTTCTACAGATAGGCCAACATTATGATTATAAAAAACTAAAATTCATATATAAGACCAAAAAACTAACCCAGCTGTCCTCCTGTTCAAGGTCTTGAGCCCTCCCTCAACAGCGTCAGTCACAACAGTTACACTTCCTTCAGTCCTTCACAATTAAAGCCTCAAATGTACACGCCAAGTCTCGACTTTTAAACAATCTCAAATCATCTAAAGTCAATAAAAAATGACCTTTCATCATCATCACAATCATTGTTTTTCAGTATAACTCCTGCTGAAATCYAAACCACTCAAGAGTTTTGAGAGAAGTTAAGAACAGGTTGTGTAAAACTGCAGAAGGAAGTTATTGTGTTTGAGCTAAAACAACAAAAAAACACTTCAAGTTTGGCTAAAGTCTCCTTATTAAAGAAGACGGTTCAGTCTGGCAGAGGGAAATAATCTTTGCTCAGTAAACATGTCTGCATCCATGAAACAGTAAAACCTGCCGTTAGTCCTGTGAGTGATAACAGACTGCAGTTCTTATCTAAAAACACTTCTTTTTTTGACTAATTGTACCTTCACTGCCTGTTCTGATGCAAACATGTTCCTGTTAGAAACCAAATATTATTTCAGAATGATCCCGTCACTCAGCGTGGACGGTTCCACACTGTGGGAGGAAGATACACAAAGAAAAATGAAGCAACCGGAGGGAAACTCTGCCCAAAAAAACAGGTTAAAGAGGATTTTTTAGGTAGTTTTTTTWAATGGGAGTTTTCCTGCTGTGAAGCAATGGTGTCAAAAATGTGCTGTGTCTACAGATCTAAAAACTTTTTTTTTTTACCTTAATAAAAGCTATTTCTGCACTGGAAACTTTTCATAAAACTGTACCTTTGAGAGCAGAGCTGAGTTTTTATTTATATCTTTGTGTATTCAGGTCTTTATTTTGTTGTTAAACAGTRAGAYTTGGTCATRAAGACTCAAACTGGCACAAGGTGAAACTAAAAACAAAGCCTAACCCACACTGGAGTCTCTGGTGTCCTCAGACCTGAACCTTCAGACCTGAACGGGTGATGTAACCCTGCAGCAACATGCTCCTGTTCAAACTAACAAACTGATGCAAGAAAAGTTCAACTTGGCACAAAATGAAAACGTGGGGCAGTCGGCTGCCATTCCTCACACAAACGTCTGTTTCAGTCGGCCATTTCTCTGAACCAGCAGGGGGGTCGGACTCAAGCAGGCTCTTCACCTGAAGAAGCCGTTTGATCTCTTTCTGTTTTCACAGAAACATCTAAACTCACAGCCGGAGAAGCCGAGCCACATTCAGCGCGTTACGTAACAGCAGATACATCTGAGCCGTCAGGCCTTTGATTCTTGTAGCCTGGATGGATCCAACATTCACCACAGACATTTTCTGGATGCCCCCCACCCCACGAGAGAGGAGAGTAAACAATACAGAGTCTGGTCCCTTCCCCTCATTGTTGCTTTGTTTGATGAGGCGATCAGTGAATGGATGTGACTCTGAGTAAGAAAAGGTGTGTTTCCACTCTCTGGAATCAGAGAAGAAGCTTATATAAAACCAGTCAGGCAGGCAGGAAAACAGCCCAAACTGAGATAAAACTCAAGATGACAGGATAGAAATATATAAACACAGGGAGCTAAAAGACAAGAGGAGCAGGTAGGTTTAAAGAAAACTTGAGGAAGAACTTTTCTTTATTAATTTTGCTTTCATAATCATTAAAAAGGTACTCCCAACTCTTTCACAGCTCTGGAAAAACCCATCTGATTATGGCAGCAGTACATTTTGATGTGAACAAGATTTGCAAATAACTAATGTTTTAATCTTTATTTTCATGTGTATTCTTCTGTTTGTTGTTAATATCACTTGTAAGTATTTTACTTTATCATCATTTGTCAGTAGTATCTTACACTCTTGATAAAAGCCCGTCTAAGGACAAGTGCTGCAAATTATCTCACCCTGAAAGCACCATGACGAAGACATGAGCTGCTGTTCTATTCAGTTTGTCTTAGTGTGTCTGTCCCTATTAAATAAATTTTAAATAATAGTAATAATTAAAATAAATAAATCCGCAGACATCAATAGAAAAAAATCAGTCCTCTTTAGAGCTTCAGTCATGGCTGAAAGTGCTGACACCTCTGACGTTTTTCCAGAAACTAAAGTATTTCTCCCAGAAAATGATTCCAGTTACACAGGTTTTGTTAAACACAGGTTTATTTCTCTGTGTGTGCTGGAATTACACAAAAAACAGAGAGGAAAAAAAAAAGCCAAATTGATTAAATTGCAGGCAAGACTCCAAAAACGAACTGGACAAAAATATTGGTGCTTCAAATTAAWATTTAAGTTTCACTTCCTTTGGAGAAAAAAAAGAAAATCAATGAATCAGTTGCTTCCAATAAGCAACAACAAGCTTCTTACACCTCTCTACTGGATTTTTTGGTCAGCTCTTTTGCAAACTGCTCCAGGTCTCACATTTGAAAGGCACCATCTCCAAACAGCAGTTTTAAGATCTCTCTGCAGGCGTTCGATGGAGCTTAGAGTAAAATTAACTTTGGCTTTTTTCCACTGTTTTTTGTGTTGCTCCAATACACACAGAGGAAATAAACATGTTTATAGCAAAACATGCAATTTCATATTTTTATTATTTATTTATTTATTTATTTTTTTTTGGAGAAATACTTGATTTTCTGGACAAATTTCAGGGTTTAGATCTCAGTTTGTTCACCTGAACTGACATTTAGATATTGTAATGGAACTAATACTTTTATGCTTAAGACAGTAATTTATGACACATTTTAATGACCTAGGTTTTCATGACATGCTGTTCATCTGCAGATAGAATGATTAAAGTCAGAACAAGATTTGCTAACGACAATCATTCTTAGGTATCACTTGTGTTTATCTTTGTGTTTTCCCTTGATCCAGCATTTCCTTAGTATTTGATCTTGTTTTATTAAGATGACATAGAGCTTGTTAAACAGTATATATGAGGCCTCAACTGCATCAGGAGAGAGAAGCAGCACAGAAGCAGGAGCAGAGAGCAGGGGGACAGTCTGATGTCGTTCTGTGTTCCTGTTGTTGCAATAAAACACAGCTGATCATTTCCACGGAGTAGCTTTTTAAAGTTTTGAAATGTGTTAAATTAAATTGGTTAAAGTGGTGCATTAGCAGTTTAAAGTCTTCGATGTAGACCATCTATTTCTAAACCACAAGCAGTTTCTTCTTTCTGTGTCATTAAACTTTTCCTTTCTTCGTGTTCCGGTTGAAACAACTCCCTCGAGTGTGCAAACCATTTATATTTAATCTGTAAGAGAGTGTTTTACTCTGAAACGTGCCGGGTGGGTCCAGCTGTTTGAACAAAGCTTTACTGGTGATGACACAACAAAGATCTGTGTTTCATGTGAGCTGAAGCTTCTTCCTGACTGCAGAGACTAATTCACCAGAGACAACATCCCCAGAAGAGAGGTTGTGCTTTAGACCCGCCCCTGGACATTTCTCGTGCTGCTCATTATGGTTATGAACACACCGGTCACTCATGTGGAACTGGAACAGATTTTAAACGGTACACACCGACACGCACGTCCACCTCTGAGAAAGCAGAGGAAAAAAAAAAGCCAAACATTAAAAGCATTTTTTCTAAACGGGTAAAGTCAGATTGTTTGACACTGTTTACATTCAGACACACACATAAGAACAGCCTGTAAGAATGTGCRTGATTAACAGAGCAAAAGAACAAAGATGTGCTGCGACTGAGTGTGTGTGTTAGTGGGGCGGGGTGTGTGTTCTTTGTTGCAGCAGCTTTATTAATATCATTTTTATAAACAGATAAGTGTTTGTAACTGAGTGACCAGATGACTTGAACAGTGAGTCTTTAAAACTCACCGTCTGTTTTTGTTTGCATAGTTGTAATCTTGGCTGCGCACATTATTTTGTTACGTGATATGTAAAGTATGTATTAGGGGTGCAACAATACATGTACCCATACCGAACCGTATCAAACAGTGCTGTATCGAACAATACAGATTTAAAAAAATTTACTTTATCAACTTGTCTTCTGAAGATGCTGTGTTGAAGGATCAGTGGATCTGTGTTCGACTACTCCACCTAGGCTGCATTGTTGAGCACAGATCCAGTGAGAAACTTGCTGTTTCAGCAACATTTAATTAAAAAAACGGTACTTTTGAGGTTAAACAAATGTTCATAATTAATATAAATAAATTACAAGTTAAAAGGGGCATGGA